TCATACCAGGACTATGGAACGCTACCCAAAAATCAGTACCAGGACTACGCTACCCAAAGACGTAAGACAAAAGTACGTCTACCGATTGCCAATGGAAATATACATAGATATGAAAAAGAAAGAGTTATGATGAATAAGATGAGTAAAAGGAAATATATGATAGTCTACAGGAATGTTATGTAAAAATGAAATCAGTTTCAGATAGTCACATCTTATTGATTCTAATCCCACTAAGTACATGGTCGATGCAACCGGTAGACGACTTTATAATTTACAATTGCATCGGAATTCTGAATAAAAACTACAAAGGGAAACTACCAGCTAACTTAGAAATTGCGTACAAGTCGTTCAAGACCATAATTGACAATGGAACTCGCCATTTAACTGAAGTAACCGATGCAGTAGCATTGACTAAACGTACAAAAAAGCACACCCGTTGAAATGTTAATAGCAAAAAATCCAACCAAATACAGACTGCAGTCGTCGTCCCCTGCTGGTATAATTACACACCAATGAAGTACGTCGATGTCTCCCGATGTTTCCTTGTCGTCGCCACCAGCCATGCAATATTACCCACAATCGATCCTGTACCCATACTACCCCTATCAATGTGGATAGAACTCGTCTACACTATTGCATCAACCGAGAATGCAAGCTCCTACTAGTACAGCCGTACTACCTCTTTCTACCATGACCAAGCTCAGTCATTGCCACAAGAACCACCTCCAGAGAAACCACCACCACCACCACCACGGCCACTATAAATAACACCATACTGAGTCCAGTTCTTTGTTACCTTTGTAATATAACATTTTTATATTTATTTATTTGGAGTTTTATATTGTTTTCATAGTTATAATTCGTATCAGGTGTTACTAGTAACTTTATTTGAACTGATTTGAAGTAATGTAAAGATATACATGTAGTTCAATGTTGTGATTTCGTGGAGTAGACAATAATATTCATATATTTTATATATTTTAGTTCTCGTTTAAAATGTTGTGCTGTTCAAATTTTTCATGTACTTTCAAAGTTCATTGTTTCAAAAAGTTAAAAAATGAGTATGGCGAAATATACATGTTTCACATTGTATCAGTGTTACATTATAGCAGTCACGTACCCAGTGAGTTGATGTGTCTTTGTTTTGACTCGCCGGCGCGCGGCTTTCTTTGTTGCCCTGATTATTGATACTTTTGGTGTCTTGTTTATACATGGCTGGGCTCTGTGCGTTGTTTATCACCAAGTGGGTACTTGTAGTAAACGAGAGACTCAAACCGGAATAGTAGTAAGCCAGCCTATCAACAAGTGCTGTCCTTTAAAAATATTCCAATGTTTTTTTTTTAATTTTTTTTGTCATAATCACTCCTCACAGGTCTGGCTAATACCATTCTATCATGGCCTTTCTGGATTCCTCTCAGTCGGCTTACATATTCTGCATATTTATTCCATCCTATTGTACTGGATGTTTTGGTATTCAACTTTGCTGTACCGTTTCATTACACCTTCAATATTATTGTAAGTATTACAAGTAAAATAAGTGTGCTTGTTACATATTACAAGTAAGATGTGTGTGCTTGGTACATATTACAAGTAAGATATGTGTGCTTGTTACATATTACAAGTAAGATGTGTGTGCTTGGTACATATTACAAGTACGATATGTGTGCTTGTTACATATTACAAGTAAGATATGTGTGCTTGTTACATATTACAAGTAAGATATGTGTGCTTGTTACATATTATAAGTAAGATGTGTGTGCTTGTTACGTATTACAAGAGATGTGTGCTTGTTACGTATTACAAGTAAGAGATGTGTGCTTACATATTACCGGTACAAGTGAGATATGTGTGCTTGTTACATATTACAAGTAAGATATGTATGCTTGTTACGTATTACAAGTAAGATATGTGTGCTTGTTACTTATTCCAAGTAAGATAAGTGTGCTTGGTACATATTACAAGTAAGATATGTGTGCTTGTTACATATTACAAGTAAGATATGTGTGCTTGTTACATATTACAAGTAAGATATGTGTGCTTGTTACTTATTACAAGTAAGATAAGTGTGCTTGTTACATATTAGTCACCTGTATGCATGATTCTGTCCCTACTCACATCAAATATGCTAGATTGGATTTACAATTACCATCAGATATATTTTCTTTATTAACCTTTTCATCACCAGTTGCATTTTTTTCATCACGATTTCACAAAATAGTCCAGTTTATAGTCTGCACTTTCCTGTGGATAATTGAGACAAAAATGGCCAAAATTGACTCAAATTTTGTCTGTTGGCTCCAAAATTAGGGTTCATTTCCAGAAATATTGGAGAATATAAGAAAGAAGTGCAGACAAATTTGGGTGAGAAAGTCTGGTGATGAAAAGGTCAAGATACTATCTCTTATATATAGGAAATTTTAATAAAATTTATTGATATAAAGGGAGCCTACATATAACATACCCTTCAGCATGATCAGATCTTGGTCCTGTATAGATGGATTTTATTCAAACTTGGTGTATCAGCCATTTTAGAACCTTGATGCACATTTTTTTTTAGATCAGTTTTCAAAACATCTTAATACTGGTGGCTATTTTGTTTCACTGAGTGCTGTTTTGAAACTATATCTCTGACATGGCCTGACCAATCAACTTTTTTCATACATTATACCTCATGTCACACATATGCACATATTCAAGATGTTCAAATGGTGGTCTTTTTAATGTAAAAAAATCATCAAACTATTGATCGACTATATATTGATTTTGTGCAAACTTGGAACATTCATCAGTCAGTCATTATGGCACTTGACTTCATTTTGTGTTTCAGATTAGATTCAAAATGGCCAACTGGTGGCCATTTTGTTAATGCACATGTATGCGCAAGTGAGTTTGTCAAAATTCAAAATGAAGACATTATGGTGCTTCATAAAATCATGACAAATGTGAAAAAAAGACAATTATAAACTAGTTAAAAAACCAATTAAATCCATGCCAAAATGCAAAGATGGTAAGCAATTAAACAGTCATTCCGAATTATTCTTTATTTTCAGGTGTTTCTATTTTTGGGAGTCACCTTGATGTCCTATGGTGTTGCAGCACTGGCTTTCTTGGCTGTGGAACTTCCAATGGCAAACATAGAAAAAGTTATTGAAGATAGAATTAATAAGATTAAGAAAGAAAAATAGTTTAGTTTTCACTATTGTAGATTGAGGGAATAGGACCAAAAATGTATGTTGTTTTCGTCGTCGTCGTCGTCGTTGTTGTCATCATCATTATCATCATCATCATTATTATCGTCGTCATCATCATTCAGTTGTTGTCGTAAACTATTTTTCTTTTGTTGTAATATCTTTTTTTTTTAATATACAATGAAAATTTACTTGAAAATACATGACAACTAGATGAAGGCCAATTTCAACTACAGAGAATACGGGTTTCACACCACAATTATAATTTTTCTCAATTTGTATAATCACCCATGAATATAAACCTCTCTATTTTAAAAACAACTTTTTTTGTGTGGGGATGGCATGTTTGTATTTCAAACTATTTTATTAGTTCCCATTCGGATGCAAGCAAAAAACGGAGACTTGTGGGTTAGTATCCGTCCATGCATTAATCTCTGCTTGTATCCATGAGTCTCCCTCTATATCTTAGACATGTCTGGACAAATCAAATTCAAACTTCACACATACATCATTTATCTTGTGATAAATATGTATGTTCATTTTATTCGTGATTTGATTCAAGATGGCCTAATGGTGGCCATTTTTGAGCTGAAAATTCTTGGTCCTGTCTAGATGCTCGTCATTTTGTTTTTGAACCCAAATTCAAAATAACTGGCTGGTGGACATTTTGTTTGAATGAATGTTTTTCTAGAGTTGTACATGTATCTCTGACATGCTCCAACCATTTATGTTCAAACTATATATATTTCTTAAAATTTATCACTCACAAACAAGAATCAGAAAGCCAAGTAGTTTTTAAATGTCAGTGTTTCCATGAGTGCAGTTGAAATTGCTTCATTTTTGGATCACTTCCATCACTGATGATGCTGTTCAATATCTAATTTTAAAAAAATATTTTTTTTTAGCATTTTGGGGTCTAGAGTATTTATATGTCAAATTGTCCTGTTTTTTAAAGTTTTACATAGGGGAAATAAGGCCTATAATGCAGTAACATGGTGTTTTACTTTGAATGAATGTATAATATAATTCATATTGGCCAGTATTTGTGCTTTATTTTTATTTTGCCCTTAAGAATATAAGTTTTTTTATAAATAATTACCGATTTTCAGTCATCTCATCACCTGTACAGATGTCAGACCAGGTCAAATGAGGTCATCTGTGCAGGGGTAGGACCAGGTCACATGTGCAGGAGTTGGGCTAGGTAACCTGCACAAGGGTCGAACCAGGTCACTTGTGCAGTTTAACTGTTAATATCTGTATATCATAACACACTTTTACGAAACAAATTACCTACTGAAACTAAATGAGAGCCCCATACACATCACATTGCGAGTAAAGGTATTTTACTCATTCTGTATCCTAATTATATTGTCAATCTTGCATGAATTGTCTCGATACAGTGCTATGGTGATGGTCTGCTCACCAAGGAGTACATTTTAATATTACAGTGCAACCTGTCAAATCCAGACACCAATGGGACTGTTTAATCAGGTTTTACTGTATACACATGCAACTTATAGTTGTATATTCAAATTGTATTTAATTGTAACAAAACTGTGCATAATATCAAAAAACATTTGTAAACATGTAATAAAAAAAAATATATATAGGGAAGTTCACATGTCTTATTCTCTGTAAATAGTGATATTGAGATTGGTGTGTATGAGTTGATGACACTGCAGTTGCAGATGTATGAAACTGCTCTTGTTTTAGCATTTGAACAATTACAGGGTAATAAAATTTAGGGCTGGGCCATTAAAAACTTTGAGGTCGACAGAGTTGCTAACAAAAAATGAAATTATTACAGCATATTCATCATTGAAAAAAAAAAATTAGCACGAAATTAAGCGAATGAAAACAATTTGTTGCATAGTTTTCTAATGGTCCAACCCTTGTATGTCCATGTAAATATACCTAATGGCTTAGAAAAACACTTCACATAATCATAAATGGTAATAAAATAGCATGGCTGGGACGCCAAATCATACAAATACAATTTATAAGCATATTAAAATACTTTTGTTCGATACTAAGTCTTGATAAAAACATTTAGATACTGGTATAAGTTAGCCATGTATTGGCTGCAAACATGACGGTATTCTTC